CACGGGGCTATTACGAATGGTCCGATGTGCACTATAACACCTTGCTACCCACTTGGCACAGCCCACAGGCGTTATATGCGCAGAAAGTGGCGGAGGCAAAGCCTTAGACATGATATTTACAAACAACTTCAAAATAGAAAAATATGCATGTTTGCTTCAGAATAGTTCAAACTGTGCTAAAAATGCACTATACTCTAGAGTTTGTGTTAAACTGTTTGTAGCGACATGTGTAACTTCATCTCGATTTTTTAGCTCCGCCTTTGCCACTTGCTACGAATGTAACATTTTTAGAATGCCTACATTCCCTAAATCCCAATAGTTGGCCTTTGATGTACTTGACGTTTCACTATTCTGTCTAGGTTTGTAGTTGTTACGATATGAAATCGTTGCATAACATTCCTGAAATGTTAACGCAAAAATGACTGGAGTGAGGACGAAGACCAAGCGAGACAAACAGTTATCGAAGACGGTTGAAAGCGGAAAAACAATTGAAGGGCACGCGCGGGAAAGGCATTCAAACAGTTGCCGTGTTGCGTTTAGTTACCGAACCGCATGGTTGCCTTAGGGGGATTGTACCCCGTCATGGCATTTACAAACAACTTTGAAATAGAAAAATATGCACGTTTGCTTCAGAATAGTTCAAACTGTGCTAAAAATGCACTGTACTCTAGAGTTTGTATTGTTTGTAGCGACATGTGTAACTTCATCTCGATTTTTTAGCTCCGCCTTTGCCACTTGATACGAATGTAACAAAGAAAAACATTTTTAGAATGCCTACGTTCCCTAAATCTCAGTAGTTGGCCTTTGATGTATTTGACGTTTCACTGTTCTGTCCAGGTTTTGTCAAAATATGTTTACATATTTTATATAATCGTTTGCAGTTGTAGTGTAGATATTGCATCATGTTTGGTGGTGCACCTCCTTGTGTTGCTGTTTACCTATTTGTACTTGCTATTCTCATTAGTGAAGCCCTCTTTTGGCTGATCTCTCGACCCCTTCCTCTCGTAACTCTCGTTCTACCCTCAACCCAAGTCCTAAGTCAACTTAGGCTTTTGATATGGTACAGAGCATGCTTCGATCCTAGCCTGTGGTTTCTTTTTCGTAATGGCACCCTCCGTTGCGGCCTGCGTCGTCCCGCTCGTTCGCCCTACCCGACGCGCGCTTGTTGCTGTAAAAGTCGCGACATTCGCGACGAAGGGCGCGGCTGTCGTGGCGACGAGCTGGGCGGCCGTCGCGCTGGCTCTGCCCGTCGTTTGCGGCCACACTGCCCCGTCGCCGTTTCGTCGCACCTCCGTTCCGGCCCCCTGTCCCACTCGTCGCGCCCGTGCAACTGTCCCCGCCCTCCCTCCCACCGGCCCCGCTACAGCTGCCGCGAGCGCTCCTGCTGTGAGGGAATGTCGTGAGGGTGGCGGGCAGTGGAGGAAAAGTGGCGGTGGTGTCGGACAGTGGGGGAGGTGGCGTAACGGGGTGACCGCCGTGAGACGCCAGCAGCGCCTGCCGTCGCCTTTTATCGCCCCATGTGCGACTGTCGCTGTGGGGGGGAGGGTGCAGGGGTGGCGGGAGTGTACCCGCAGGAACCAGCCGCTGCCCTCCTCTCTCTTCTCTCTCCCTCCAGCGCTTGTCGCTATGGGGGAAGGGGGGGAGTGTGAGGGGGTGGCAAGAGAGATTCTGCAAAGCCAGCAGCCGCCCCTCCTCTCTCTCTCACTGCCGCTAGTGCTGCTGTGGGGGGGAGGGTAAGAGAGGGTGGCGGGGAAAACAGTCAAGCATCTGCAGCTGCCACCCGCTGCTACTGTGGCACCTCCTGCTGCCGCCCCTGCCGCCACCTGCCCTTGTTTCTGGTGTCTGCTGCTGGGGCCTGCAGGTGCTGCCGTCGAGCCGCTGCTGTCCTGCTGCACATTGCAGCCACAGAGCTTGCTCCTCAGGCGACCTGCCGCCCCTACACCTGCTACTGCTTCTACCTTGGCTGAGGGCGTGCTACAGTTGTATTTGCCACTCCTGCACCGGCTACTACTGCTTTTGCTTGCTTCTGCTTCTTCCGCTGCACTCCTGGTGCACCCCGTCAGGGGGCGTTTTACACTTACTCCTGCAATCAATTATGGGGGCGTGTCAAAATATGTTTACATATTTTATATAATCGTTTGCAGTTGTAGTGTAGATATTGCATCATGTTTGGTGGTGCACCTCGTTGTGTTGCTGTTTACCTATTTGTACTTGCTATTCTCATTAGTGAAGCCCTCTTTTGGCTAATCTCTCGACCCCTTCCTCTCGTAACTCTCGTTCTACCCTCAACCCAAGTCCTAAGTCAACTTAGGCTTTTGATAGGTTTGTAGTTGTTACGATATGAAATCGTTGCATAATATTCCTGAAATATTAACGAGAAAATGACTAGAGTGAGGACGAAGACCAAGCGAGACAAACAGTTATCGAAGACAGTAGAAAGCGGAAAAACAATTGAAGGGCACGCGCGGGAAAGGCATTCAAACAGTTACCGTGCTGCGTTTAGTTACCGAACCGCATGGTTGCCTTAAGGGGATTGTACCCCGTCAGAGCATGTGGCTTGTCAAAATATGTTTACATATTTTATATAATCGTTTGCAGTTGTAGTGTAGTTATTGCATCATGTTTGGTGGTGCACCTCCTTGTGTTGCTGTTTACCTATTTGTACTTGCCATTCTCTTTAGTGAAACCCATTCCTCTCGACTTTCCTAAACTCACTCGAACTCTCTGTTGGTGCAACCCTACGGTTTGCACTCGGCTTGTTGTAGGCGACGTTTAGACGCTCCAGATCCAAGTTGAATCAGGTCATTTGAAGCTGTGACCAGAACGCTATGAACGTTTGAAGCCGCTGTGCAGAAATCCGGCTGTGCACTCTATCTTTCGTTTTAGGCACATTGGAGCCTATTGTGACTATAACACTCTCTCCTAAACCATGGCTCCTAAGCCCACCTATGCTTAGCTTTCTTCACATGTTATCAGAGTGACAAGGTCCTGACCTGTGGGCCCCACCCTAAAACTTCCGCTGCTACTCTGTGTTCGGCACGCCCTGCGGCGTGCCCCTTATACTTTGTTCTTAGCGGCCCCGTTGCCGCCCTTTCTGGCCCCTTGCGGCCCCTTCGCGGCCCTCCCGCCGCCCTTCACTGCGGCCCCGTCGCCCTTCGCGTCGGCCCCGCCACTCTTCGCTACGGCCCCGCCGCCCTTCGCTGCGGCCCTGCCGTCCTCAGCTGCGGCCTAGTCGCCCTTCGCTGCGGCCCCGCCGCTCTTCACTGCGGCCCCGCCGCCCTTCACTGCGGCCCCGCCGTCCTCAGCTGCGGCCCCGTTGCCGCCCTCACCTGTGGCCCGTCGCCGCCCTCATCTGCGGCCCCGTCGCCGCCCTCACCTGCGGCCCGTCGCTGCCCTCACCTGCGGCCCCGTCGCCTACCTATGGCCCCGCCCACTTGCGGCCCCGACCCCGCCCCGGCCATGCCCCGTCGCCAACTGCGGCACACCGGGGGCACGTGCACCGCCCCCCCCCCCCCCCCCTTTTCCCGTCACCCGTCGCGGCTCCTTCGGGGGCCGCGGGCGACCTGGAAGGGGGGGGCAGGCGTCGCCCCCTCTGCCGCCTGCTTTGGCGCCCGGGGAGGCCGTGCGTCGCCCCCCCCCCCCCCCCTCTCCTCCTCCTTTTTTGTTCCCTCTGCTGCAGCTGCCGCTGGGGGGAGGGTGTGAGGGTGTGGGGGAGCCCGGGGAGTGGCACTGGGGTGGCGGGTGTGAGACCACCCAGCCGCCGTCCCTCCACCTCTCCTCTCTTCCCCCCTCTGCTGCTCCTGCAACGGTGTGTGGGGGAGGGGGAAGGGGAGGGGGAGGGTGAGGGGATGGAGTGGGTGGGCGGTTTTACACTTACCAGAGTGGGCGGTTTACGCTTACTCCTGCAATCAATTATGGGGGCGTGTCAAAATATGTTTACATATTTTATATAATTGTTTGCAGTTGTAGTGTAGTTATTGCATCATGTTTGGTGGTGCACCTCCTTGTGTTACTGTTTACCTATTTGTACTTGCCATTCTCTTTAGTGAAACCCATTCCTCTCGACTTTCCTAAACTCACTTTGACTCGAGAAGCTTGAAGGGTTGATGTGTGAGGGCGGCTTCTGGGCAGATGTCGCAATCAATGCGGCGAGTGGTGGTTGTCAGGAATATATTCTATAGTCTGTGTAGGCTCTAGTGGGGCAGTTCATATGGGGTACAACACTTTAGGGTTTACCACTTGTACTCCTCATTCTGCTCAATGCACTCACTCTCGTTTCTCATCATGGTATCGAGCAGGTTCCCTAGTGGGAACGCTACCTAGGGCCCACCACGATACTTTTTTTTTCCTGCCCGGAGCGCGCTTCACTCCTGCCCGAGTCGCGCTCTGAGTGCCCTCCCTACCTTCGAGCCGCCCTTAGTGGCCCCTCTCACGGCCCCTTTGGCCGCCCTTACGGCCCCTTGCGCCGCCCTTACGGCCCCTCGCGCCGCCCTCTACGGCCCCTCGCGCCGCCCTTACGGCCCCTTACGGCCCCTTAAGGCCCCTCGCGTCGCCCTTACGGCCCTCGCGCGGCCCCTTTCGGCCCCTCGCGGCGCCCTTTCCGGCCCCTTACAGCCCCGTCTAGGCTCCTTACGGCCCCTCTGCGGCCCCGTCTAGGCCCCTTGCGGCCCCGCTACGGCCCCGTCTAGGCCCCTTATGGCCCCTCCGCGGCCCCGTCTAGGCCCCTTGCGGCCCCGCTACGGCCCCGTCTAGGCCCCTTACGGCCCCTCCGCGGCCCCATCTAGGCCCCTTGCGGCCCCGCTACGGTCCCGTCTAGGCCCCTTACGGCCCCTCCGCGGCCCCGTCTAGGCCTCTTGCGGCCCCGCTACGGCCCAGTCTCGGCCCCTTACGGCCCCTCCGCGGCCCCGTCTAGACCCCTTGCGGCCCCGTCGCCACCACGTGCGGCCCCGTCGCCGCCACCAGCGGCCACGCAGCCGCCACCTGCGGCCTCGCCGCCACCTATGGCCCCGCAGCCGCCACCTGCGGCCCCGTCGCCCTCCCCTAGCGGCCTTGTCACCGCTCAGCCGCCCAGCGACCAAGCCACCGAGCAGCCCAGCAGCCAAGCCCCCCTGCCGCCGAGCCGCCGAGCAGCCGAGCCGCCCTACCGCCGAGCCGCCCAGCAGCCGAGCCGCCCAGTAGCCGAGCCGCCCTGCCGCCGAGCCGCCCAGCAGCCGAGCCGCCCTGCCGCCGAGCCGCCGAGCCGCCCAGCAGCCGAGCCGCCCTGCCACCGAGCCGCCGAGCCGCCGAGCCGCCCTACTATCGAGCCGCTGCTGTTCCTACCGGTACTCCCCGGCCCTCCTTCCTCGGACTGGTGAGCTCACTTCCTGCTAGGCCACTGCAGTCATGGCTACCCCCAGTGTCCTTACTTTTGATGCTGAGGGCCGTGCCGTTGACTTTGAGGTCTGGGTCGATGACCTCCAGTTGTTTCTCGAGTGCGATAGGGTAGACGAACTCTCTCTATTCGATCTCACCTCTGGTGTCTCTCCTGCCTCGCTTGCCACTGCTGATAGCACTGTTCGTTCACAGTGGGCCACACGCGATGCTGCTGCTCGCCTTGCTGTGCGTCGCCACTTACCGACCACTGAGCGTGCACACTTTAGCCAGTACAAGAGTGCTCAGACCTTGTACGACGCTGTAGTTGCACGCTACTCTTCCCCTGCCACTGCTGCACTGAACCGCCTCATGCTACCGTACCTCTTCCCTGACCTTGCTGCCTTTCCCACAGTCGCGAACCTCATCACGCACCTCCGCACTAGTGACACTCGCTACCGCGCTGCGCTTCCTGCTGAGTTCTGCGCCAAGAACCCCCCCCCCCATGTACATCACCCTCTACTACATAGTCACCCGGCTCCCTGACTCTCTTCGCGTAGTCAGGGACCACTTCCTCTCAGTTTGCCCCACCACTCTCACCGTTGACCTCCTCGAGAAGGGCCTCCTAGCAGCGGAGAAGAGCATAGTCACTGTAGGAGCCTCTCGTGGTGACCCTCGCACCCCCGTCTTTGAGGGGTGTTCCCCCTCCCCCCTCTTGCCCTCTGTTGCTTCTAGTGCTGCGGCCGACCTTGTTGGTTTCGAGTCGGTCGGCGCTGCGTCTGCCCCTAGCGGGAGACGCCGCACCGGCAAGGGCAAGGGGGGCAAGGGCGCTGGAGGGGCTGGCGGGGGTGGTGGAGGTGGTGGTGGAAGCAGTGGAGGGGGTGGGGGTGGTGGTGGGAGTGGTGGCGGGGGTGGAGGTGTTGGTGGCAGCAGTGGAGGCGGAGGAGGCGGCGGCGGAGGCGGAGGGAGCGGAGGCGGCGGAGGTGGTGGAGGCGGCGGAGGCAGCGGAGGTGGCGGAGGCGGCGGCGGCAGCAGTGGACCTGGTCGCAGCTCTGCGCAGAGGAGTGGCTCCGGTGGAGGTACGCGCTAGCAGCAGCAGCGCAGTCGTGAGACCCTGTCCCCTTAGCAGCTTCGTGAGTGGTACGCTGCGCGTCAGCGCGGTGGGGGTATGGGTCCCTGCACCTACGTTCTCCGCACCGGCGACCGCGCTGGTGAGCAGTGCGGGGGCCCGCACTCCACCCAGCGCTGCTTCGGCCGCCTGACGGACGCGTGGCGTCACCAGTTCCCTGACGCCTCTGAGATCCCTCTCTGGGGAGAGTTGTCTAGGGCGGGGGATGCTATCTTTGATCTTGACTTTGATGCTATTCTTGCTGCCATGTATGCTGCTGCTGATAGTGTTGAGGGTGACTGTTACGTGTGTGTTCTGCCTGACCCGGGCATTGAGACTGCTGCTCTAGGTGATGGTGAGGCTGCTGCTCTAGGTGCTAGCGCGTCTGCTGCCCCAGGTGCTGGTGAGTCTGCCCTCTCAGGTACCACGTTGGCTCAGGCCTTACACACCTTCACCCTTGACTCGGGTGCTTCCCACTCCTTCTTTTGAGACCGCACCACACTTACGCCGCTTAGTCGGCCGGTTGCGGTCTCCCTGGCGGACCCCTCTGGGGGTCCAGTCCTTGCTCGTTTCTCCACTGTCTTACCGTGTCCGGCAGCCCCCTCTGGCACCCTGTCAGGTCTCTACCTCCCCTCGTTCTCTACGAACTTGGTGAGTGGCGCTGATCTACAGGATAGGGGGGTTGACCAGTTCACTCCTGCGAGTCAGCGGGTGACCCACTGCACGTGTGCTCGGACAGGCAGACACTTGGCCACGTTCACCCGTCGGCCGGGGTCGAGCCTGTACACCCTCACTACTGAGTCTCCTCCGGCTGCTGAGCCTGGTCGGGTCGCTGCGTCGAGTCAGGTGTTTGCTGCAGCGTCCAGGTTTAGTCCTGAGTCTGCTCCCTGCTCGTGTCGTCTCCTGTCTCACCACCGCCTTGGTCACCCCTCCCTGCCTCGTCTCTGACGCATGGCCTCCCGTGTCCTTGTCTCTGGTCTCCCCTGATCTCTCCTTCCTCTACCTCCGGTGCCTGCCCCTACCTGCGTCCCCTGCGTCGAGGGGCGACAGCGCGCCGCCCCTCACTCCTCCGAGTTTCCTCCGATAGAGGCTCCGTTGCAGACTCTTCACATGGACGTGTGGGGCCCCGCTCGCGTCCGTGGCCAGGGTCACGAGCGTTACTTCCTCTTGGTAGTTGACGACTACTCGCGTTACACCACGGTCTTCCCCTTGCGCAGCAAGGGCGACGTCCCTGAGGTGTTGATCGACTGGATCCGCGCAGCTCGTCTCCAGCTCAGAGAGAGTTTCGGCTCCGACTTTCCTGTTCTGCGTCTGCACTCTGACAGGGGCGGGGAGTTTTCCTCTGCCCGTCTGGGAGCCTTCTGTCGTGCACGGGGCATCCGCCAGACCTTCACGAAAGCCTGGCCTCTCTACAGCAAAATGGGATTGCTGAGCGCCGCATTGGCACGGTCATGGACGTCGCTCGTACGTCCATGATGCATGCGGCTGCCCCCCATTTTCTGTGGCCGTTTGCGGTTCAGTGTGCGGCGCATCAGCTCAACCTTCAGCCCCAGGTCTCCTTGCCAGAGACCTCCCCCACCTTGCGGTGGACGGGGAAGGTTGGCGATGCGTCTGCGTTTCGGGTCTAGGGATCTCGGGCGTTTGTCCGCGACTTGTCTGCGGACAAGCTGTCCCCTCGTGCTGTTCCCTGCATCTTCCTTGGCTTCCCCCCTGACGCGCCTGGGTGGCAGTTTTACCACCCCACCTCGGGCCGTGTTTTGTCCTCCCAGGACGTCACCTTTGACGAGGCGGTGCCTTACTACCGTCTCTTCCCCTACCGCGCCGCGCTCCTTCCCCCGCCGCCGCTCTTCCTTGCACCAGGTCCTCCCCCGGTAGACCCCCTCCCCCCTCAGGGTCCTGCCCCGTCAGGTGTGTCCCAGGTAGACGCAGTCGAGCCTGTCAAGGTAGCTGTTGACTCTGCCGCTGCTAGAGGTGCTGAGCCTGCGGGTGCCGGGTCTGGGGGTGCTGAGACTGGGGGTGCTGAGACTGGGGGTGCTGAGTTTGGGGGTGCTGAGTCTGGAGGTGCTGAGCCTGGGGGTGTGGAGCCTGGGGGTGCGGAGCCTGGGGGTGCGGAGCCTGGGGGCGCTGGGTCTGCTCGTGTGGCCGCCGGCGGTGCTTCGTCGAGGCGGGAGCCACTCTCTCCACAGGAGCTGCGCGAGTGGTTTGCCCGGCGCTGGAGCCGTGCTGCTGGAGTTGGAGGTACTACTGTTGCTAATGGTCCCGGAGGTGCTCGTACTGGCGGTGCTGGAGCTGCTGGGCCTGGGGGTGCTGCCGGGGCTGCTGGAGTTGGTGCTGCTGGAGCTGCTGGAGCTGGAGCTGCTGGGGGTGTTGGCGCTGGTGGTTCGGCTGGCGCTGGTGCGTCTGAGGGTGCTGGAGTTGGCGCTGTTGGAGCTGGAGGTGCTGCTGGCGCTGGTGCCGCCACTGGGGGTGCTTGTGATGTCCCTTCTGGTTTTGGAGGCGCTGCGCGGCCGCGGCCGTACTTCGTTCCGCTCCTTGAGCAGGTTCTTGGTCTCCCGCCTTCTACTGGTCTTGCTCCTCCCTTAGAGTGTCCACAGCCTGTCCAGTGTTAGTCACAGTTACAGCCCGCCTCCCCTCTACCTGCTCCTTCTCCCTACACTGGTCCTACTGGAGGTCTTGCTGAGCGTCGTGAGCCTGCGTCTCGTCCTGCGTCGCCTGTTTGCACTGCTCGCACTAGTCGTCGTGTTCCACGTCCGCGTCCTCCTGCGGTTCCGGGCACACACCAGATGGCACTGCGTCCTTCCACTGCTCCCCTTCGTGTCCCGTTGGCGTCTCCTCCAGAGTCCTCTCTTCCTGTCCTTCCTGACCCTGAGTCTGACTCTCTTCGTGCTGCCAGTCCTATTGTCACGCGTCTCCTGGCCACTATTGTCACTGACTCTTCCTTTGAGTCCACTGCTGCGTCTGCTTTAGTGGCAGAGCTTGTTGACTTTGCTGCTCGTTGTCGTCTAGACTACGCCATTAGTCTTGTTGCTGAGTCCGAGTCTGTCTGTCCTCCGTCCGTCGGGGGTGGGTGTGCTCTTAGCACGGATGTCTTTGAGAACAGGTAGGAGGAGTTCCAGTGTTTTGCTGCTGCTTTGCCTCATCTCGTGTCCACGCTGATTGCCCCTTAGGGAGACCCGGATGCACCAGACATCCCGACTCCTCGATCGTACGCTGAGGCGATCGAGGTTCCCTACTCCTCTCAGTGGCAGTCACCCATGGACGCAGAGATGGCTTCCTGGAAGTCCACAGGCACCTACGTCGACGAGGTTCCCCCACCTGGGGCGAACATCGTCAGTGGCACGTGGATTTTCAGGGTGAAGCGGCCGCCGGGTTCTCCGCCTGTCTTCAAGGCGCGTTACGTGGCTCGAGGTTCAGTCAGCGGCATGGAGTTGACTACTTTCAGACCTTCTCTCCCACCCCGAAGATGACCACTTTTCGGGTGCTGCTGCACATAGCCGCTCAGCGCGACTACGAGCTTCACTCTCTTGACTTCAGCACTGCTTTCCTGCAAGGCAGCCTGCACGAGGAGATCTGGCTGCGCCGCCCACCTGGCTTCACCGGGTCGTTTCCTCCTGGAACTCAGTGGAGCCTCCGGCGGCCAGTCTACGGTCTCCGCCAGGCGCCACGTGAGTGTCACAACACACTGAGGACTACACTTGCGGCTCTTGGGTTTGCTCCTTCTACAGCCGGCCTGTCGCTGTTTCTGCGCACCGACACCTCTTTGCCGCCGTTCTACATCCTCGTGTACGTCGACGTCTTGGTCTTTGCCACTGCTGACACTGCTGGACTCGCCCACGTGAAGTCCGAGCTGCAGAAGAGACACACGTGCACAGACCTGGGTGAACTGCGCAGCTACCTTGGCTTGCAGATCACCCGGGACAGAGCACAGCGCACCATTACCCTGACTCAGTCACACATGGTGCAGGAGGTCCTTCAGCGCTTCGGCTTCACGTACTCCTCGCCTCAGGCCACTCCTCTGTCTACTCGCCACTCGCTCTAAGCTCTGCCTTCGGATGAGTCCGTAGAGCCGAGTGGCCCGTACCCAGAGCTTGTTGGCTGCCTCATGTACCTGATGACCTTCACACAACCTGACCTTGCATACCCTCTTAGCATCTTGGCACGCTATGTTGCTCCTGGGAGACACCGACCAGAGCACATGGCTGCAGCGAAGAGGGTGTTGCGCTACGTGTGCAGTACGTCGGGCATGGGGCTAGTGCTTGGAGGGCGACGCCGAGTGGTCCTCACTGGTCACGCAGACGCTTCTTGGGCTGACGACCAGCCGACACAGCGGTCGTCACAGGGTTACACCTTCAGCCTTGGCTCTGGCTCTGTTTCGTGGCGGTCTACCTGCTCGTCTTCTGTTCTCACCTCCAGCTGTGACGCTGAGATCTACGCGGGGGCCATGGCTGCACAGGAGCTGCGCTGGCTCACCTACCTGCTGACTGACCTAGGAGAGCCGCCTCGTTCTCCTCCAGTTCTGTACGTAGACAACAAGGCCATGCTGGCCTTGTGTTGGGAGCACAGACTAGAGCACAGAATGAAGCACATTGCTCTTCGCTACTTCTTGGCTCGTGAGCTGCAGCAGCGTGGTCAGCTCCGCCTCACCTACATGGCCTCTGAGGCCAACACTGCTGATATCTTTACCAAGGCCCTTTCGCCTTGTGATCATCAGCGCTTCTGTGCTATGCTAGGTGTTGTGCCTAATTGGCCTCACTTGCTCACTTCTTGACCTTGTTTGTACTGTACTCTTTCTATACCTGCACTTGCTTGTTTACCTTTATATATATGATCTTGCATGTGAACTGGCCTTGTGGCCCTGCTCTTATGCTCGGACTGTGTGGTGATGTTGTGATCCACCCTGAGCTTGCCTTGCTTTGCTTGACTGGTCTTGTGACCCCTTGTTCTCCCCCACTTTGCCTATGGGGGTGTGTCAGGCGTAAATGCTATAGTCTGTGTAGGCTGTAGTGGGGCAGTTCATATGGGGTACAACACTTTAGGGTTTACCGCTTGTACTCCTCATTCTGCTCAATGCACTCACTCTCGTTTCTCATCATTGGTGACAGGGACGGGAGTGCCGTCTGGGCGGAGGAGAGTGCCGGGGAGAAAGACTTGCGCGCGAATGCAGTTGTTGAGAACTTCTTGGGAGGGGTGACCAAGGCGTTTGTGCCAGAGGTCAGGTTGAGCACGCAGAGCAAGTGAGCATGTGTAAATGGCAATGAGTTTGGCTTCTGCAGGTTCAGTTGGCTATGGGATGGGCTGTGGTGAGATGGATAGGCCAAGAGCAAGGATGAGTTCACGAGCGGTGGGGGGTGGAGTGACTGTGGTGATGGTTGCGAGTGGTGGTGTGATATCATCTGAGTCTGTTGTTCCTTCTGGGAGTTCTGGGCGTGGCATATGATGAGGTGGTGAGGCATGTGTTGCTGGAGGGCTAGGAGCAGGTAAGTCTAAGG